ATTAACATAAAAAACATATTTGTCATTCAGTTGCTCTCAATATATATTAAAATAATTCAGATTTTTATTAGTTATTCCTACTCTCTTGAAATACTGTTTGAAGGTGACTAAAGAACCGATTATTTGAATATTCAGAGAATTAGCTCTTGGTGTCAGGAGAGTGATAGCATCACAATGCAGGTGAGGACCTACCGTTCTTCTTTTTAATATTTCACAAATCAGCACATATATGTGTGCTTAGCATTTATAAAGCCTTCAACTCAAGGCAATTTTAACATTAGAGTTTGATCAGTTATTCTGGTTCTGACCTAAAGACAAATCACTCAAAACACAATGCCATCATTAGCAATTGTAACACCTGAAAAGCTGCCACAATGCAGGTGAGGACCTACCGTTCTTCTTTTTAATATTTCACAAATCAGCACATATATGTGTGCTTAGCATTTATAAAGCCTTCAACTCAAGGCAATTTTAACATTAGAGTTTGATCAGTTATTCTGGTTCTGACCTAAAGACAAATCACTCAAAACACAATGCCATCATTAGCAATTGTAACACCTGAAAAGCTGCTTAAGCCCCATGGACATGTAATTACTACCTGCAGCCGCAGGGCATAATTACACAGACTACACCCTCAGCAGCTGAATCATGGCAGTGTTTTGTGCATAAAAATGGTTCTTGCAGTCCTAGGAAAAGCATTCCATCACTGATGGAGTGCAGTCACAGAGAAGTTTTCTGATCTTTAGATTTATCCAATGCTGAAAAAGAAGCAGCTCCCCAGGATGCATATTGCTTCTGATTTGGCAAAAACGCAGTCATGTTAGTAAAAAAACAAACAGCCATGACACCTCCAAATCTGAACTCAGACAAAAGGGGTTTTTCTCCTCCTCCTCCTCCCTGGGCATGAAAGATCAGTCCTTTGCAGTTCTAAGAACCATTAGCAGGATCTGCCTATTTGAGATTTAGAAGTACTAAGTGCTTTTCTTCCTACATTCTGCATTTTTTTAAAATTATTTAAAGAAACGGCAGGTTTCATTTACTGTTGCCAGTACACAACCATGAAGAAATCAAAATGCCTCTCTTCTTTAACCACTCGAGTGTCTTGCCAGTTTAGACTAGTCGCTTTTTCAGCGGAGGCAATTTTCCATTGTGCCCTTGCAAAGCAGCCAGCGCAGCAGTCCTATTTTAACACTACTGGAATTTCAGTTGTATCAAAATTGGTTGACATTTAATGTCAGGTTTAACCTATTCCCCCCCAAAAAAAAACCTGAACCTAAATAAGACAACTTAATCCTCAGCAAGAAGCCTAATGGTCTTAAGCTTTTAGGTTTTAGGGTTATAGCATGATAATGACAGCTTGAAATACGATGTCTATCTGGTATGGAAAACGATAGAAGAAAATCAGTCACAAAGATTCAGAACACCGCAGATATGGAAACAGCAGGGAGCATAAAAACAAAAGAGAGGGTAGGAGACCTCAAGTTTAGGGGGGGATCTTCCCATTGCTTTTTCACTGCTGAAGCTTTACTGCTGTTTTTCACATGGTTACTTCTGTAGTGATTTCGTTTCCATGCACCCCTTGTGCAGTCTGTTTCCATAGTGCAGGACATGGGACTTCCCATCATGATTGCTAACATGCCTTAACAAGATTCTTCCAGTGTTTTATACTCTGCTCCATTTTCCTTCTACTCCCACTGTCACTCCTGATAAGAACTGTCTTTTCCTCAAATGACCTTCTTGTCCCCCCTTCCTTGGAAGGGGAAAGAGGGATACAGGAAAGAGAAATGTCTCAGAACAATCATAAAATGCATCTACAGGACTGACAGCTGATCTGCTGGCCTTACTTAATTCTAGCCTGTGGTTTAAGAGCAAAGAGGGACTATTAAGATACTTGCAGCCATTAGGAATACAGACCACCTTCAGGCAGTTCCTCTTTAGCAATATTTGGTTGGCAACTGAATAGGAAGGATGCAGATGATCTGCAACCTGTAAAGAGGTGGAAGTTGAACCCACTCCTTTTCTCCCATTAATCTATAATTTTTTTTTAGAGGACAGATAAGAACGTTACACAGATCTGCAATGGAGGAGAGGTTGGTGTCAATTCCTTACCGGACTGTTATTTTCCACATTGACAGCAAGAACACAAATGTGTTTGTGTTGTAGTATTACTTGGATGGAGGGAAGATTCCAACACATTTCAAGGCAAGTCATTTATTCACAATTAATCTAGGAATCATATTCCAAAGCCTTCACTACCCAAATACAAAAAAGTGAGGCTCCATGATAGTTTATTACCTATCATCACGCATAAACTGAGAGCTCATGAAGGAGCACTTCTTATGCTTTAAGTTGAAACAAGCCTTTTAACTCTCAGAGAAGCTGCGAAAGGCTGCTGCCAGAAATGACAATTGCTCCAAGTCACTGAAAAATAAAAAGTGTTTTACTGCAGAACAGCATATTTTAGTACGAAGACACAAAAAAACAAGACAAAAATCTTGATTGCTGTGTGTGAGCAACATGCAATCAAGTTGAGTTTAAAGTAGAAGAGATGGTACAAGTACATGAAGCTGAAATTAGGTTGAACCTACAAGACCTAGAGACTGGTTTGCCACATGCCATTCACTGGTGCATTTTGACTTCAGAAGCTGTCTGGGATATGGTATTGCACTAACCCACAGGCTGAACAGACATGTACAATGAAAATTGCCTTGAAAATTGAAAGCAACTTTTTCTTTTTAAGAACAAAGATTTTGCCTCACTTAGCAATACTGCAGTGTACCAAAACATTCAAAAAGATAAATAAAATCATCTCTAGGTTGAAGAACATGGCCACTATTTCCTCATCTTGTATGTGTCAAAGAGCTTCACCTAGCCCCGTTATAAACCACTAAAAAGATTACTAGCTTGGAGATTAGCAATAAAATAAAATAGAAACAGATAAGTTGGGTTAATAGAGTTCCAGAAATCAGTGGAGAGGACACAAGTGAGGCACTCAAGGAACAAGCAGTTGTGTTCTTGTTCCAGAACAACTGGAAGATCATAGAATCATAGAATGGTTTGGGTTGGAAAGGATCTTCAAGATCATCGAGTTCCAACCCCCCAGCCATGGGCAGGGACACCTCCCACTAGCCCAGGTTGCTCAAAGCCTCATCCAGCCTGGCCTTGAACCCCTCCAGGGATGGGGCATCCACAGCTTCTCTGGGCAACCTGGGCCACTGCCTCACCACCCTCACAGTGAAAAATTTCTTCCTAATATCTAATGTAAATCTGCCCTCGTTCAGCTTATAACCATTACCCCTTATCCATAGGACACGTTAAGGAGGTTTCAACCAAGCGATGACATTGATTGTAATTGAACATGCCCCCTCTGAGGCATGCAATACGTTTATCACAATAATGTCGCATTTCGAGGGATGGACACTCTGACTGCAAAGATGAATGATGTGACACTGAACACTGATGTGCAACTTTATACAAACATCCACATTCAACTACAACATCCAGGCTTCCTTCTAGAGGAACATACGCTCAAAGAACTCTACCATGAATGAGTTCTTCAGCTGACTAACACTATTTCACATCCAACATTGAGCAGTGTCAGGAAGAGCCTCAGAAATCACAGACAACTGAAGCAGCTGAGGAATGCACAACAGGAACCATACATGCAGCAACGTGCAGCAAGCATACGTTCCCACTTACCTTGTGTCTGAAGGATTTTCACCCCCAGTACTGCCCACTGGCTGTAGTTTAAACTCCAGAGATCGCCCTTTCTCCTGTTAAGTCTCCCCTAAGTCCTTCTCCACAGAGAAGTGCCTGCCAGACCTCATCAGAAGGCTCTCCCAGATTCTGTTCTGGAGATGGCAGATGGCATTCTTCCGGTAAGAGGGACAGAGGCTGTGCTCACTTGGCACGATGAAGAGGACCAGGAGACTAATTGCTTAACCACTACATGGCTCTCCTTAATCTACCAAGATCATTTCCCAGTGTGACCCATGCATGGACCACTTACTTCTTCCTGAGGCAGCAATGACTATACATTTGCTGGAATTGAGACTGAGGCAGCCTTCTAGCTTTGTGGAAACTGGCTCTCAGACTGTGACGCACTAACAGCTGATTTCCTCCTCCAGGCAGGCCTCTACACAAGAAATGTTAAGAACTACCAACTGGACAGAAAGACCTTTGTATAGTTTAACTACTGACTTTGCAAACCTGAGCTAGTAGATCCCTAAGCTATTGCGGCTGAAGCCCAACAGGCAAACAGGATTTCTGCTTTTCTTAAAATTACAGTACAAACAATAATATTGAAAGCTCTTGACTTAAGCCTCTAAGTCAAATAAACTGACTACTGCACTGAAATCCACACCCAAAAGTCATACCATGTAAAATTATTGTATAAATAATCAGCAATGAATAGCTTCCACCTTAAAGCACCCCTCCTGTGGTCTGCCTCACGAACAAATTATCTCACCAGTCCTAGCACGCACTGCAGACGTCTTGAATAAGAGCGTATCAGTCACTGAGAAACACTCACCTTCTTTGGTCTTTGTGCTAGCTGCTACCGCATCCCTGTCCAAAGCTGATGAAGCACCTTGCTCTTGTCCTGTTCCTTCTGTGCTCTTATCCTTTGGTTTGCTCTCTGCTTCAGTTTTCTTTTTGGTAATGTTTATAACACCTGGAGTGAGAGGTGGACGTTGGATGGGTGCTGGTTTAGAGGCTGGAGTAGGAGATGGTGGCCTTTGTTTTGACACGCTAGGTGAAGGTGGGCGAGTCTTCTGTCTGTTGAAATAAAGAATATTTTTCAGCGCTATCACTGAAAACCTCAAACACTCAAATGAGGACAGTCTACTTTGGTTAGTTCACATTGCGTGCCCCACTTTTAAAAATAAATCCACCCACAAACTATTGGTGCCTTCCTCATAAAACTCTAATACAGGATTCCAAAATACCCTGGGCACCTGAACTCACTACTTGTGGGCTAACGTCAAAACAGGTCTGCTAGCCCAGACCTCCATTTACTCCACATTAAGGATGAACACTGAGATTCAGTTCCAAGAAACTTCCTACACTAATACAGGCAGACCAGCTTATTCAAAAGCTCGCGTGCTTCCTCTTGGTTTGAGTGCACAAACTGTACAGAAAACCAGGGTGTATTTTGTTTGCACAAAAGAGACAAAGGTTCAAGTAAGAGCTGCATCCCTGCTATGGAAGACAGAAATCAGAGCAAAAATGAAGTCCTTATGTGTATTAACATGGCATAGTGTAGGACATCCAAAGTCTAACAGCACAGCTCTTGAGACAGGAAGCATCCTTCATTTTGTTCTGAATAAAAGATATTTAACCTGGACACATACCTAACCGTAGAAGGTGAAGGAGGACGCTTCACCAAACTAGCAGGAGAAGGGGATCTTCTATGGGCAGACACAGATGGCGAGGGAGGGCGTCTTAACCCAGAACCTGGGGACGGTTTTTCTGTCTCTGATTTCTAAGAAGATACATAAAAACAAAATAATGCTCACTCTCTAGAAGATATTACAGGCAGAGGACCTGCTACCATAACATACAACTTATCAGCAAGATATACTTTACATTTCCTTTTATGTTCCAAAATATAGACCCAGTCAGTATGTTACATAAATTAAACTTTGGGAACCATAAGCAGCAAACAACATGCCTTTAAGATATCAGAGAGATCAAAGACCATAAAATACCAGTTTGAGCATTGAGCATTTCAGCATTGCGTTTTTTAAGCAAATGCTATTAAACATTTCAATAAGCAAAGTGTTGAAACAGGATCCCATCCTGAGCTGTTCCAAACCCCCAGATTAATACAAACCTAATTCCTGTGGATTTTCAACAAACCTGGGTTGAATCTGGTGAACTTGCATCTGATGAAGATACAGAGGACTTCAATCTGTCGATGCTACGACTGCGCATGGGCACTTTAGGAGCTGGGACTGGGGAACTGATGGAACTGGCTGAAGCTGAACGAGGACAGAGGTGAGATTCTATAAAAGTTAGGAATTTGACAAGACAAAACGAGAACCAAGTGCACAGCATAAGAACAGGAGAAAAGGAAGAGAGAGAAAGAGAGAGAAAGAAAGATGGTGTGTGTTAGAAACCATACAAAGAAAACACCACAGGCAGTGCACATTGCAATGGGTCATGGGCACAGACACCACCACCACACAATTAGTACTTTGGAAGCAACAGCACCAAGAATAAAATAAATTTTGAAAGCAGCAGTCTGGAGTGGATAAAAATAAAATGCTTTTCCAAAAGGAGGTCTAAATTTGCAATACACCAGTGTTACTTTAATTTTAGTCAAGCTGCATCCAATCAAAAATACTTCAGTTTTTAATGGCTTAGCATCTTCCTTTACAAGTTCTTAATGATGGGTTCAAATTTTAAGCATGCTTCCCCCATACTCAAGGAGGAAATCTTCCCTCTTTTCAAAGAGTGGTTATAAAGCAGAATTACATTAGGAATCTGAGCATTACTTTACAAGCTTTTCTTGTGAAATACGCATTTGTGAAACATTACTTTATTCTAGAATACTTTCCGTCTCTGAGCCCTTTATTACTATATATGTGTGCCCTTCATCCACATTAACAAATCAAAATAGGTGGTATAAAAAAAAACCTATCAAGAGAAAAAGGTCAACTGTTAAACTAAAATACCTTTCCTATCTGAAGTGTCAATCTTTTCATACATAAGATATTGAAAGAAATTGTATCTTCTAATTATTTTTTCACTAAGGTAATCATAGATGGATAAGCACACACAGATGTAAAAAGCTGCCTCTGAAACGAGATACTGGATTTTTCTATTGTCTGTATAAATTGTGACAGATGCCAGCACTTAATTTTGTAACTTTATGGAAAATACATTTTATTTTTATATTTGCAGCATTTGTGCAAAGAGAACTGCATTCTGTTTGTGCATAGTTTGTGCTAAAGCACAGGTATGTTTCTACTGAAATGAAGAAAGTACCTCTAAGTAAACCGATAACCATGTAAAAGTTATCTTTAATTCAGCAATGGTGAATAAGTCACATGCTGTCAGTGACAGTGAAAAAGACGGTATTTCCTCACATGACATGAACTGAAATATTCATGGTAAAATAGAAGTGGCACACAGATAGCTGTGCAAAAATATGACCACTGACTACAAACCAAAAAAAGTAAAAACTGATTATTACACAATGGGAGCAGTGTATAAATGTCACCATTACCAACAAGGACCAAGTTAAGTGGCATAAGATAAAAAATAAAGAGTGAAGAACATACTTAAGAGGAAACAAGCAAAATTTGGAATGCAAGTTGTAAGGTAAGAGAGGAGAAAGGACTCCACACTGGTTCCAGATATGCATTTACTGGGGCATTCTTACAACCAATAACATTATAAGACATGTGGGATGCCACTAGGGTTTGCCCACGATGTATACGCTAGTACTAAGTCACAGTGTGGGCTTACCAGCTCAGTCTGGACCAATACAAAATTGCTCGAGCCAGCCAGGGTTTCTCTACAACATCTTCTCCTTCTCGTGTGCCTCTACTGCTACAGTCAGCTGGGGTAAGGCCAGCTCAGGGCTCCCTGCACTCGTGTTAAGGCAAACACTTTGTCATGATCCTACAAGAGTTTCTCCACACTGAAGAGAAATGTAGGCTTTGCACCTATTCCTTTCAGCCTCCTTAGAAATTATGTTTGGTGGGTTTTTTTTTTCCCTTTCATTTCCTAGCACTGTTCTCTGAGCAAGATGTCTCAGATTCGAGGGTATACCCAAACACAGATCTCTATCAGTTAACAAAACGCCACAAACAAAATCCAACATGAACACCAACATCTGATTGTCTGCAGAGTAAGTACACTGGCTCTGGAGTTTAAAAGCCAGTATTATTCTGTGGTTTTGTAAAGTAAACATGCAACATAGCATATGAATTGGTTATTACTGACCAGAGAAAATACTGGGTAAGTAATATTATACATAACCTTATATTAACTGTCTGATTCATACTTAAGTGTAGCACAGTTAGTGACTGTCATGTAAGTTCTTGCTTGAAGAGCAACTGCATAAAACTTTCAGGCTTTGCTGCCCTCCTGTTACCTGAGGGATCTTGTCCATCAGTCGACAATGTAGCAGCACTTTTACTCCTAGCTAAGGAAGCCTGTGTGGGGGCGAGGAGGCGACTGATTACGCTACTGTCCAGAGGACTGACCTGGGAGCGACGAGCTAAACGATGGGAACAAATCAAAAAGGATCCAACATGAAATCATATCATGGAAAAGACAAGCAGTACAAAGCAAAGGAAGTTTGTGAGCATTGTTGCAAATCATAACAGTTTTGGAAGAAAAATACAGAAGTCATGGAGAGGGAAATCCAAACAAAAAGCACAGGAGGGTTAAATATTGCAATTTCTTATGTTGCACTTGTCCTTGGCTTACTTAATTCTAATCATTTTCATGTGGAAAGACTGACATGAGTACAACACAAATCAATACTGAAGTCAGTCAAAATACGCTCAGTTTTTGACCCAGCTCTTCAGAGCTATTTCTCTAGACTGCAAAAAAGGCTGTTCTGACATAATAAACAGAAGGCTTGCAAGTCAAAGCAAACGATTATCCTCTGGTATCATTTGCACACCCAAATTCACATGGACAGCACCCATCATCCTCCCATACAGGAAAGACTGTGAAGCAGAGTATCGTTTCCACTGTTGGCAATAGCTGTTAAAAAGGAAAGTTTCAGAATTGTTAACTGAAAGGGAAAAAACACGTTAGAAAAGTTGCTAGTCTTCAGCTTTAGGAAGAGTTACTAGAAAGGAGATATTTGTAATCCAGTGGGGAATACACAGACCAAAGGAGACTGAAGTGAGAACAGGTTTCCTCCTTCATTTGCATGCACAAAGTTTAGGCCAGCAGCAGGAACAGAGAAGTTGCTTTTAAACTGAATAATGAAGGAGAGCTTAAAAAGCAAAGGTAAGATCTAACTAAGAAGTGAACATATCAGTGTCATTTTTACTGTATCTTACATTTAAACCTACCAGCTTTCACATACATCTCTCAAGCAGAGAGACATTTTGCTATCTACTTACAGTGCCCTTTAAAAAAGTCGAAGTCCTACTTACAGGATTTCTTTTTTGTCCAAAGGGAGAAATTTATCTTTACCATTTACAATTTTATCTTTACCACTGGACAACTAAAAAGCTACTAAAAAGTCCTAAAAACTTAAGAACCAGGGAAACTACTGAAAGTAAGCCTATCCAAACTTTACTATGAATGGCTTAAAAAAAAAATATTCAGCTTTATGAAGCAACCACCTGTTTTTTCTTCCTTTTTCACTTTTTCTAGTTCAGGAGAGGACTGGGGTTTACTACTCATTCTATTCAAAGATGTGCTCCTCTTCTTTTCTGTTCCTCCTGGAGACCAAGCGTAAGGAAAATTATTTTTAACAAGGTATTTATATATATGATTTTCTAAAGTGCCATTCCCATGCTTTGCTTTTGACAAGAAATCAGCTAAAACCACCAATCTATCATTATAAAGCACTATTTTCTTACGAGCTAAATGGTCTGGCTACCATTTGTCTACTCCCCTCCCACCCTTCCACTTTTCAGAGGAGTAAGGCTGGTTTATAGACGCAGATACCCAATATGGGGCACTGCAATGTGCGTAACAATATTTATGCCACAGAGCATAGACTATATGCACAGCAGTGAAAGCCTGAGTAAAAACATTTATAATGAAACTGGGATATGATGTAAAGTAAACTTCAAATATCCCATTTACTGCCTCCCACTTCTTAAAACAAACTGGTTTCTAGCACCTTTCTGTTCCACCTGCGAACCTTTGGATGCTGACTGCTGAGAATGTAGAGGAACTTTGTTAGTCAGTCTGTTTAATGAGGCACTTCTCTTTGTGGAACCTGGAATTGAAAGCGCATGGATTAATTATGTTGAAAAGCCTAAAAGTCCCCTCCAACACCAGCCCCACTTCCCTAAGATGCAGAAGAGTAATTAAGTAATTTCATAGGATGAATCCTTTGGAAGCAGGAAAACTGGATCAGGGAAGAATTACCTTACATAAAGCATTATTTCTTATATTCCTGTATATTACTGATCATAGCAGCAGGGTGCCAGTCTCAACAGACTTTTGTTTGACCTACCAAGGCCATCTTTTTACACCTTTCTAAATAAATCATTTTAAAAGGCCATTGCCCACATTCTGTATGAGTAAGAGTGAGAAACAAAGCTCTCAGCTCAGAATTAAACATAGCACACAGCTGACTAAATACTCCACTGATCCAGGGACAAGCATCTTCCTTTCAATTCCGCATTCTGCTCCTCCACCTTCCCAGGCATGTACAGCAGCAGCAAACTGGTTAATTCTGCAACTGTGTTTTCTGTCCTTTGAATTTAGCATCGTTTACCAAACAGTCATTTCTTGAGTGCCAGATCAAGAGCACAAATTGGCTCTAACTTGCTGTGGTGATCTACACCAGTGGTTAGTTGACCTCTATTATTGTTGGAGTCTGCTTCAAACTTATTGTATTACAGGCCATCCGAGAATTTTTCATCCAAAGCGAACAAGGATTCACAAAGGATTTCAAGGTATGACAATAAGTTTGAAAGCAATCCCAATTAGTAATTAGTGACTTCCTTTGTTAGCAGTTTAATTTGTATTTTAAAGCCCTGTTTCTGACTCATACCCAGAGCTGAACCCTGCAGACACATTATATATAAATATCATTTTAAATCACAAGCAGTTTCCAGTGACTCAGAGCCCCTGCAGCTATGCCAGTATAGATACACTCACCAATTCCCCTACCAGGCATACAGTCTATGAGCACCAGTTTTTCTGCTGCATCACCTTCCAACATGAACCAGCAAAACCACTGTTAGCTGTGTCCATGTTAGGGATTCTTCTAGCACAGCTCGTTCGACATAAAGGTTGCAGACTGACAGAACACTGCAGTGTAGACCTAACCAAACTTGCTTTTGTATTAAACAGCTCTTAGCTTATTAATGCTTTTCACCATTTTGGAAAAAAATACCATTTGGAACAGAGGCAGGCCCTGTGAAACACTGGGAAGATTCCCCAGAAGGAAATTTCAGGCTAAAACATGTGCTCATGAAAGTAATTTTTATTTTTCTTAAGAAGTAGATTAGGACAGTTCCTTGTGTTTGGTGTTTTTTTTTTTTTTTAATTATTTTTTATTTGGAAGGCAGATTGCCATGATTTACAGAATGTATTGGGACGGGGCAAAGGGAGGTGGCAGAGAGAAGACTCGCATGTACAGGTTTCCCAGAGACTGGGAAAACCAGGTTATCTATCTCATTCTCTACATCCATGTTAAGCCTAGTTGGGTGGGTACACATTTTAAGCATGACATGCTGCAGTTAGGAGCTTCATCCACCCCAAAGTTGCAATTCAAAATGAGACTGGAAACCACAGAAATTGGTAGAGAATCTCTAGAGTGCAAACACTCTTGGAAAACCTTAAAAAAATAAAATCAAAGGAACAACTGGTTTCCAGGCCATTTCTACTCCTTGATAGTCATTGGCACAGTAAGTAACCCAGAATGCTTGCAAGCAGTGTGCACTAACAATCTGAGAAATGCATAATCTGAGTACCAGTATCAAGCTTACGCTACTTTATTGGGCTAGGAAATGATGTCAGAGCTGCACACTATGGCCATAATCATGCCAGAACTCCAGGTCAAAACAAAACAACCTCCTCCCATACAAAAAAACTCCCACAAGTGTCAAGAGTTTTTCATGCGTTCTCCTCTATTCGGTTAAGGGAGAATTCTAACATTAAAAAGAAAGTGTGTGTCTACAGAGTACAGGATTTCACAACAGAAATGTCAATACTACAGTTGACTTTTTCCCTCCCACAGGCAATCAAATGACTAAGGCTGTCTAACAGAACAAAGAAAACATTATTTTTGTACTACTTTTATTTTGCTGAAATTTTAGGCTGTAATTTAAGGCATGCAAACCCCTAAAGATGATGTGAAATGATTTGTGAATCAGTCAGTCACCAAGATTTGACTTTAGGAAAATAATCACATAAGTAAAAAATAAAAAACCAGTATTTTTTACCGTTACTCTTCTCCTCTAATAGAGATCACATCAACTGGGTCAAAGCCCTGAACAGTCAAGCTGGATCAACAAATCGCATGAAATGCATTTAAGATCAAAATACGAAGTGAGTTGCACAGCAAGAGTTGCAAGCACCTCCTGCTTCCTTCTCAAGGAACAGCTGAGCAGTACACCTGCTACCAGCAGACACACAAACACTTACTTCGATCAGAAGTGTTTAAAAGCGCTGCAGATGATGACAACCGCTTATTGACTCCAGCTTCTGTCTGTTTGAGGTTTGCTGTGGAGGTGGACCGCTTGCTGGCTGTGTAAAGAAGCACTTACTTTAGAATTCACCTTCATACCTGAAGAACCTTTCACACATTGCTGTGAACTAACTTTGGAAGTATTACATCCTGAAAGTTATTTCCAGTTTTGCTTTATGAGAAACAAAGACTTTTTTTTTCCCCTTTGGAACAAATGTGATACAATTAGCACCAGTTGTAATGTGCACAGAAAAGGCATTTAGTTTCAGTGGAGTGACACCAAGATTTTAGGCATAAGTATGCAAACAGGTGGTTTTTAAACCCTGGGCTCCTAACATGTAAAGACAAAAGCTACTGAGGTTGTGTGCTGTTACCAGGCTGTGAGACAGAGAAAGTAACAACAGAACCTGAGTAACAACAATGTCTTTGTTCCTTCCACATAGGTATGTCAAAACAATTTTTTAATCACTACTTAACAAAAACAAAACAAAGAAATGCTTTTCAAGGGAAAAAAGCAAGTTCTGAGGAAAGGCAAGAGAGCATTCCTACTTCAAATTACTTCCCAAGGGTTGCTCTGACTACTGCAGAGATTTCCATTTTTTCACAAAAAGCTATTCCTTAAGTTCATGTTTTCTAACTCTTCTGAAAAAAAACTGCCAGAAGAAGCAGGGGTTTTTTTGTATGTGTATATAAACACATACGTACAAATAAAAATTGTATCTCACATGGCAAAATTTCAAGTTTACCACAAGCCAGATAAATACCTGTTTTTTAATTTCAAATAACATACTTTCAGGATGAATACTACTCCAGAGTGCGAAAGCCTTGGAAAAGCATGTACCTGCTGCTACAGAAACTCAATAAGCAGAAAACGGTAATGCACACAAAATAGTGCGGCCTAGCTTAATAAACACAAGAAATTCTATACATCGAACGCAAGTCATCAATTTTGCTGCCATACTGGACAGCAAAGATGATTAATGTGAACTCAGTGCACAAGTACCGAAGGAAAAAGCAGCACTACTCACCACAGAGGCAGCATCTTTTCCCTTTGGCCAGCACGCTATAGCAGCTCCTTACAGCAAGAGCCAGGACATAAGGAATCCTATGGATAGCCCTGCTCTGAACCGTACTTTTGACACATGCATCCAACCCATCCTTCCTGAGCTAGGAGCCTCCCGCAAAACCACATCAAGTGAAAAACAGATTTTGGAGCTGAAGCTACGAAACTGCCAAGCTCTTATCGCAGTGAACAAGAGCAAAGTCCCCCTGGGATAAGAGGGAGAAAGGGGAACTATTGAAACTAGTTAAGAAATGAAGATCTGAGCTTGGCAGATATTTTCCCAACATAGTTTTTTAAAATGGCATTTCATGAATGAAGCCAGAGTACTGGGATAACTAAAACAGCCTTGAGAGGTTCCATATACAAAAACCAGGAAAGTCACAGTTCACGTATTTGGATGTTTTCGAAGGTAAAGACCACCCTCTAGCGTCTGCTCTTAAAAAGAAAGCCCGGCTCTTGCCAGAGCTCAAGCACACGAGTCAAAGGCCTCCAAATGCTGTGGAGACGCTTTGTACAAATTTCTCTTGGTTCAAATCAGGAGTTCAGCACGTGCATGAAATCTGAGATTTGGTCTATTGCCTACTGAGACCCAGAGGGCAGAAAATTAAATCTTGCCTTGAAAAAAATTACACTGAGCAAAGCAATTCTTTTCCAGCAAGTTTACAAATTCTGGAGGTGGGCTGTGCTGTTTAGTAAAAAGTGATGAAATTTCTACTAGAAGACTCAAAAGAAAGACGTACAGGCTAAATATGACTGCTCAAACAAAAAGAAAAAAAATCAGTCTCTATTTTTCAGGGGAACAGAAAGCACTGGTGAGGGCATGAGCTAGTATCTCTACTGATGCCTTGACAGAAAAAAATCTAACTGGTAAATTCTTCTAATTAAGAAAAGCGTTATGAGAGAGATCAGTTCCCAATCCTAGCTTCTCACCAAGCTTCAATGAGAGAGGGTGCTGCAGCACTGCTTATCTGAGGATGGATGAAATTAGGCTACATAAAATAAGATTGTCTGTCTCTCACTTCCTTCCAAATTTATGCTAGGTCAAGAAAGCTCTTTATTTAGAAAGGAGAGACTCTGGCAGCCCAGTTCCTACCAGCACATCTCCCCTGCAGATACACCTGAACATCTAGTTCTGCTCAGCAGTCATCACTTAACCTTCCTCATCTACAAGGCCTCTGTCATTAAGGTTGCTTTGTCACACAGCCTTGCCATTTCTCTTGGCATTTCTCACACCCTGCATGTTTCATCTTAGCCCTGACAGCAATGTCATTAACGTAACATTTGACTTTGGGGCTTTCATCAATTTTTAAATTTCAGGCCATCAGTGGGGCACTTGGTGCAGCCTCAATGAATCACATTCTGTAAACAACACAGAACGGCTGATGGCTGGTGAAACGTTCAGTTACATGGGGTTTATTTTCCAGAGCACACTACCCCTGTCACCCAAAATGCTGCTTTATCAATGTTCCTAAGCATTGCTGTTGACACAGCCAGTTCATGGCAGAATGTCTGATCCTATTATTTTTTGCACAGCAATAGAATAGACAAGAAAGCCCTTAGTCCTAAAATAATGTAAGGAGTATTTGAAATCTGTTCCCCCAATGGCTTTCATTTTAAGAAACGGAGCCTTTGATCTCAAATCTGACACAGAATCTGATGGTGGAAAAATAATATCGTACTGAAACTTACTCTAGCTGTGCTGTTAGACAAGGTGCGCTACTCAGCCACAATGCCATTTTTCAGAGTTAAAAAAAAAGGTAACTGTTGTCTTTCCAGCAATTATCCAAATATAAGGTGAAAGGGACTAAGTAAGGATTTTTTAGAAAGCTGGCTGGACTTAGGCATCCTGCATGGTTTGGGCAGATTTTAAATAACATTTAAGTGAGGGGCTTGCAGAAAGAGAAAAAGCTAAGAATCACCCTGAAATGGGAATAAATACAAGAAGCATAAATCCAACCATGATCCCACATTATCCAATCCAGGTAAGACAGCTGTACATTCGAAACCTTAACATAAAATCAAACACTAATTTAAAACACTTTGGATGCACAAGTGTCTTACTCAAACACCGCATTATCTGTTTATCTCCATAGTCGATTTTTTCAAAATTCGTGCCAAGTTATCCAAATTGATCTATTGCAGCCGAACTTATCTGCTCTTCCTGTTACTTTATGATGCATAAGGTGCATCTTAAGTGCCTACTATTACATCAGGAGCACGTTTCTTGGCAGACACTTTATTTTTAATGTGCTTCAGCAGCACTGAAGATCTTCCTCCACAATCAAAAGGCCAGACAAGACTCATTTTTTCACATAAATCAGCAGAGAGCAAAGAACATTATTTTATGGTTGTTATAAAGTTTAGCTTAAAAATTAGATATGGTAGAAAGGAACGGAGGAGAAAAAAAAGTGTTTTCCTAAATATGTAAGGCAAATGTGACTTCCTAGTTTCAAGGTTAAATGACATTTGGTAATGTGGAATACAGTAATTGGATTTATATTTGTATCCAAGGAACACATGTTAAACAGGTAAACCAATCCAGTCAAACTGGCTAATTTTGGAGAAAATTAGGGATTCATGCTGTGCAGAGAAAGAGAAGAGGGAAGTTAAATAAAATACACATGCTTCTGCTGTGTTGCCAGAATAAGCCACAGTAGTTAAATCATACCCAGTCAGACTTTCATTGCATTTTCAAGTCTCATATTGTCAGCATTACGAGACAGCTGTATTGAATTAGTAATGCTGGGAGCATGCACAGATTTTCGGAATTCAGATTTAGCTGGGTCTCAGCTGAGAGCTATCATCTTAAACTAGCTACAAGAAATAATTCTGCTTATTAAACACATAGCCTTGACAAATATATCAGTGATCTGAAGTGTTTCTACGAATGGCTCCGTCTGCACTGGAAAGTGCCAGAAATCCAATGAAAACACATTTAATATATAGAATTATGTTCAGATAATTGGACAGACCTGATTCTGCAAAACTCTTCATGGAAAAAAAAGTATCATACTGCAGAAAGGACCCATTCCCTTTCATAAAGTTTCAGCAAAATATAACTTGGTTTTGCAAATGTTACTTCCATTGCTGGCAAAACAAAGCAAGAAGAAAACAAACCAAGCCCAACCACGTACTTTTTGTAAATTAGGAAACAATGAAAGGGCTCGAAATTGCCCTTATAAAAAAATAAAGCTTAGACTACCGAACTAATTCATATTCAAATACATACCACTAAGAATTTCTCTTCTCCTCCCCCACGCTGTATCTAGCCATCTTCAAAAACCCAAATGCACATATCCTTTCCCTGAAAATTCCCTCAGGATGCCATGACTTAAGCTGTAGTTTAATTAGCCAGGAGGGATAGTTAAAAACATAGGGGATTGCTTTCTACTTAGGGATCACATTTGTTGCACAGCTGGCCAAGATCCAGGAAAAGATCTATAAGAAGACGATTTTCCTTAGTTTCAGAGAAACAAGAACTCAAGTTTAAAAGGTTAGTAGTAAGCGTAAAACAACAGAAAAAGAACATTTTAGAAATCAATACCACCAGTTCCACCTTCATCTGCGGTCTGTTGTTCTGTAGAAGAAGAAGGTTTGGAGGCTAAGTCACAAGGTCAAATAGCAAACAATCCAACTTAACCAAAAAATGGCAAAGCTGGATGTCATAACAGTAATTTATATCAAAGCACTTTCAAACGTTATAAATAAACACTTAAAGTCAACACTCGAGCTGACAGAAGGCGACACTACTAAAACATACTCAGTACAATTCCATCAATTCAGAAGATAGGCTGAATTGAAGGATTTGTGTTTTATTTTATTCCTGGACAATAACTTACGTTATTTATTGGTGTGGTCTTCCAGTTAGGTAGTGCATGAAAAAATACCCTCCACTGCAATCCTGATTTATTGTTCTGATTTCAGAATGTTTACAAGCAGAAACAGTTAACTGTGTGGAATAGGAGACAATCCGAGCTCAAATTAAAAAGCGTTAAAATGCATCACTTAATCTAGAACAGAACCTAACCTCTGGCAAGCTCGGACACTGCCCATTGCATCTCCTTACCCATTACTGGTCATGAAAATAATCAGTTAGCATTCTGTAACTCTAAGGGTGTGATGAAAACACTTTAGATGGAATATGACAGTAAAACTAGGGGTTTTTTTCTGTTTATCATCAGTCTCAGCACACCATTACATGTACTGCATTTGAAGAACGCAACTATTTCAACACTATACATATACATCACAATTACCCTTATATCTGGTGGCTGGGGGCTGGCAATGCAACGCTGCCAAGTAGTATATTTCCCATGTGGCTTCTCTCTAGCTCTTCCCAAGTCAAAAATAGCTCTAAGTCTGAGCAGCATTTTCAGGGCAAGTACAGATATGACTCCTTCCCCAAGAGCTGCTCGTAGATCCTGCTGTAAGATCCAAGATAGCGAAGGATGCCCAGGTCCCTGTGAACAGCACTGCACCTGCCAGCATTCACACATAATATTTTGTGATTTTAGCCATGCTGGAGAAGGTGCTACTTACCTGTTTTGCTCTCTGAATCTGGAGTTACAGATCCTCCCCATGACCACCTCTTCTGTCGAGTTTCCAGCCGCTGATTCCGTTCCAAGGTACGATGCATAACTGCTTCATATTTCTCCTGTCATCAAACAACATCTCTATGAAGCTTATAACTATAAAGCACAGCTACACCAGAAGACAAAATATAGATTTTTTTTTTCCCCCTCCCAATATGATTTAAAATGTTTTACCTATACTGCTTGATAATGAGCTTTTGTTAGAAAAACTATCATGGTAAGAATGTTAAGGGCAATTAATGGTTTCAAAACACTGCAAACATGATTAGGTTGAGCTAAAGCACAGATAATCTATTCTACTCTTTACTTAAAATAGCCACCAAACAGATTTCCTATTCAGTAAACAGCACTACCTGCTTACCCTTTATTTATATTCTTAAGTTATTTGTAAAAGGTGATAAAAAATCTCCATTATAAAATACCAATTATAAGGTTACTTGTATTTTCAGAGAACTATACAAACACTGATCCAAGTCTTAACAGATACTGACATGAAGAAGACATGAAGGCAAAACTGCGAAAAAACCCCAATCAACTCCAGACCTCAGCAACCACTGCTGACAGGACAAAGAGGACTCAAAGAAGCTTTTGCCTCTGTCTCCAAGACTGGTAACTGCTAACAGGGGAACTTTGCCTCTTGTGCATAAAGACAAAGTCACCATCCTAGACTGTTCCGTCTCAGCCAGGTTTCCATACATGCGTCAACAACAGATTTCTCTTCTGGAATAGTCATATCCCAAGTGATCTTTTGAAGCAGTATTTACTGCTGATACACTGCAGTAAGATGCCAAGGGGACTCGTTATACAAACATTTCTCTCTCTTGGGGACACAAGACCTTCACCTTCTTTCAATACCATTTCACAACACAAACTAAAAAAGTCACAGCGTGTAACAGACAAAGTAAACTTGGAAGGAAGGGAGGAAGGATTCCATTAACTGACAAAAGATAAAATTAAAAGTTCTGTTTGAAATATAAAGCTTAGCTTCCCCTCTGTTAAAGAAACCTGAACTAGAGTTTACCTAAGGTGCCAAACTACCCAGACATTATGTAATCTGTAGATAATATTACCATGGCTGGATCTGCAATGCGGTAATTCTCCAAAGTCATAGTTAAAGACATAGGCTTCACTTTACAAACAACAGAAAGTCAGTTATCAGCTCAAGACATGAACGTACCAAGTTGCACAGCTGTACAGAATAATTGAGTAACTGTGAGAAGACAGGTATCGCAACCCCAGCCATGGCTAGTTGTCTTCAAGACTCTCTTAGGCAGAGAACCACTTATTTTTCCACTGTATTTGCTATTGTGCTTCTTCTACTTTATCTAAGGAATGTAACTAAATGAGACTTGACTGAAGTACAAAACAAGAATGTTGAAGACTATTTTTGATGCACTTCTATCTACTAAATTTACAAGTGTAGATGATAACTTGCTGGCAAACAGTGCCCTAAGATAGCTTAGCTTCTTATAAAGTGATTACTTTCTAATGTCAGAGTACAAAAGTCAAGATCTGTTTTCACTTTCTGGTTAAAAGCAAGGTTTACAGGTCAAGTGCCCACTATTTTCTCACTGCTGTATTATTCATGTGTAACACTCTATGTACAAGGTCATCTTCCTCCAGGGACCAAGTGAAAGACAAGGTAAACACCAATCAAACACTCATCAGCTAGTCCTTGTCTTCCTTGATTATTCAGCCCAGTGGCCACTTAAAACATACCCATATCCTCAAAATTACATGAATAATTATACTAAAGCTATGGGGCAAAACCTCCTGAAGCATAAGGGATGCTTGTTGCTTAAAGAGATGATACTGCACTGGACTGCAGTCAAGGCCCACCCAGACATTTCTGCTTGTTCTCCAGCAATGTAAACTATTCCATGAAGTTCAAATGGAAAATCAATCTGGACACACCCATAAGCCAATTACAGATAACCAAACACCAGTTTAGAATACCACCAGTCAAAAAGGGTGAAAAAGATGTATTGCTAGAACACCGTAACAATGGCTGGACTGCAAGGGAGCAGCTGGGCAGGCTTACAGGCTCTTCATCAATGACCTGCAGTAAGCTCTTACAACTAGCTTATGAAAGCACACACGCATGTCATGCCTTTACTGCTGACACCCTGGAAATGAACCAGTTCAGAACTTCATCTATTTATTTCTCTCTCAGCTTCTATCAATTCGCAACAAGCTTCTCAACTCAAATACTGCTCTGTTGGTCCATGTGCACTCAAAGCAAAGAGTCAAGTAAGAACAGTCAATACACAGTTCAAAGCAGCAAAAGGTAACCACACAGATAACCTTATCAACTGCTCTACATATAGTAACAAACTGCAATTCATAAGAACTGAAAGAATTTGATCCTCTTAAGCCACACTGGGGCTTCCAGGAAGCAAGACACAGAATTAAGAAAAGTCCAAGACGTGTCACCCATGCTGATTTACAAACAGAATCTCCAAAGTGCACCAAAAGGAATACAGAAGTCTAGGCATGTGGGGTGGGTCTTTGCCCATGTGAAAAATAACCAGTGGCCAAACAGCAGCCGCAGCTCCTGAAGTCCTGAGTGCCTCGGGGATAAAAAAAGCTAGGCCTGGGATGGGGAAAGAGGACATGTGTCTATATAGCCCATTGTATAGATGTGGAAAATATTTTTATGTTCTAATACACTCACCATTTCCATAACTTTCTATTTCACACCACTTCAGAGCACAGTAATTTAGGAAAACAATGTAGGAGTTTCTTGAAAACAATAGAACTTTGATGCGTAATACCTTTTCCTCCTCTATTTTTTGTTTTCTCTTTTCTTCTACTGCTGCCCTCCGTTGTTCCTCTTTCTGCTTCTGTTCCTTTAGCTTTCTCTGCCTTTCTTCTAACTGTTTTTCATACTGGAGCTTTGCTTTTCTCTCCTTTTCAAGGATCTGTGACTCTTTGGCAGCTGTAAAATTTAAAAAAAAAATAAATTAAAATTAAACTTAACTATTCATTGGTATTAAAACACAACTTAAAGGCAAGAGCTACCAAGCAAAATTATCACAACGCAAAGCCAAAACATACAGCAAGATTAGCTTGCAATGCTGAATGACGCTGCCCACGATGACAGAAATGTCTGTAATTCTGTCCCCAGGTTAAGCTGGAATTGAAACTTTGCCTACAATTAGACTTCACTGTCTAGACAGGAATGTCAGGATATGTATATATCCTCTGTTAAGCATATACTTTTCATCGTAATAGTGAAGTCTTTATAAGTGAGTAACTAGTAAGCTGAGTATCAAAGGCCAGAATTTTCTACGTTGCAATCTGCATTTCTTAGAACAAGATATAATGAAAAGATTTAAAGCACCGAGTGGCAAGATGGGAAAACCCCACAGTTCCTGCATACGAGTTCAAAATAGTTATGTCACTATTCTCCACAGCCTCCACCTAGGAACAGCTGTGCACAGTTTAACAGGAAGCTTCAACTTCTGTGACAAAAAGCTAGTGGTTGAATACCGAAGTATTTTCTGTGGCTAGACAGATGAAATGAACTGAGAGACCAGACAACCACACCAATAATGCACAGGCAGTATCTACATATAAGGCCCCCAAAATACTTCTGAATTTATATGCATCCTACTCCTATCCGCTCTCCATGTAAGGATAACACAATCATTCCCATTCCTATGTGGTTTTGCTTTTCTATTAAGAAACATACAGCTCAGAGACAATACTCCTCACAAGCTGCGAGACTGAGAACCAGGATGGCAGGGCATACTGTGAACCTTTCATCCCTCGCTGCGCACATATGCACTGATTCACGTCACAAACAGCATAAAGCCGGGCAGGAGTTTTATGCTCTTCTCTAGGTCCCAGATTCTTTGCTAAGATAAAGCGTATCCTGCTGACACTCCAATCCAGGAGTTGTTTCAGTGTGCCAGGAAACAAGGGAAGCAGTGTTCAAGGCAATCAAGCCATTCAACTAGCTCAATCTCTTTTGCTTTTCTCTAAATCACTGTTTCCCAAACCTCTGTCTTCAGGGCTACAGGAAGCAGTTCTAATCTAAAAGTGTTTCTGTTAAGTCTTTCAATAAAAATTGGCTAACTTCACTTGGTGGTCACTAAGAAATGGAAGGCCAGAAGTGACATACAGCTTCAAGAAGCTGAAAATCTCTGGAATGTTTTCCTCTCAAATCTAATACTTCTCCATTCAGGTTCACAGATGGTCACTGATGCAAGACCTACAAGAGCAGATCTTGTCACTTGTCCCCAGCAAGCTGAAAAAAGTGACTGAAAAAGGAGTAAGAGAGTAAGTTATTCTTTTATCACAAATTTTTTAGGAAATTATATTTTAAAGGGAAGATGAAAATACCATGTTGTTTTTCCCGTTCTTCTCTACGTTCCCTGGCCAGTCTTTGTCTTTCTTCTGTTCTTAGAGTGGAACCATCTATCACTGTCAAAAGAAAAATTGAAGACACATAATTGTCAGTTATTTTGAACATTCAAATTTAAATAAAAAAGTTTTAAGTCTTACTGTTGAAAGGATTATGGAACATCCCAAGAGATACACATACCACCAAAGCACACTTCATGTACAGATTAACAATGCCATCTGAAAAATTCATAAGCAGCTGAATACCCTCCTCTTCTCCCTCTCCATTCTCTCACAACAACCAATCCACTATTTTTACTAGGTGCAGCAGAAAGCAGTCACAAGATTAAAGGCTCAACGTGTTCAGTCAAAAGAAAGCCTGAGCAGAAGTCAGACGTGTGAGAATATACTCCTACTCCAAATTCAGCTCTGACCCTCACTCTTGTACATATAAATTCCTATGATGAAGAATTAGAGGAAATTAGGAAAACTCAATCTGAGAACAGACAGTTCATCCATCATGACGAATTCAAAGCGTTGCAGGATAGCTAGTTTGCAGGCAAACCAGAACCAAGACTGCCTAAGTCTTTGCACATATAAAAACTTCAATTTCAACCAGAAGTGAACCGGTAACCTGACCAGAACACAAAAACCTCATTTATCTTTGTTATGTGCTGCTGAAGAGACAGGCAACTGAACTCTGAGCTAGTCAAGAGCAGAAGTCTGTCACTAAAACCAGACCTTTGATGAATCTACAAACCATCTACCAGGTGCTTTATGCTCCGACTTCTCCTCAAGAAAGAGCATCAAACTTCTCCTTACCAGATGTTTTATTCATTCCCTACTAACATTCCCTTGTGAACCCAGTACTTCATTAAGAACAATGACCAATAATTATACCTGGTTTAGTTGCTGTCTTTATATTTATTGAGGTCTGGACTGCAATAGGGCTAACGCCACTTTGACTTCTTCTTTCTTCTGCTATGGCTTGGGCTGCAGCGACTGTGAGAAAGAATCATCCCATATTAAAAAAAGCTCTACAACAAAAACTCATGAGATAAATATCCAAAATAAATACATAAAAGTCTATTTGAGGTTGCAGATCCTTTCATTAAATAACTAACTTGGGACTGCTCAACTTGTAAGAAGAAAAAACTTGTCAAATGAGACCATACCTGGGACAGCTTTTTTTTCTAAAAACAACAGTTACAAAACCTTATGTTTCAAAATGTGTAACAAAGGACTATAGAGTTTAAAAATAAAACAAATTTAATAATTTCTCAAAGAAGAAAAACAATACTTTGCAAAGTTATGAGTCTGACTTACATTTCATAAAAACTCTTTGCTACTGCACATATATATTTGTGGGCATATATACATATATATATACACACATACACAATAGTCATTAGCACTGGTAGAATCATATTCCAACAAGACCCAAGCAGGAAAATGTTTATGAAGACTTTTCATTATTTCATTACTTGAAAGAAAGGGGATTAGCTGCATAAAGTAAAGCATTAAGGAATGCTTACAACGTACTTCTAAAATTGGATCTTCAAAAATAAGTTTTAATTATAAATTCGACCCCAAAACAGTAATTTGAGCATTTATGCAGAGACCCATTCACCTTATTTGAGTTTCACCAAGGTGAGCACAGTGAACTGCAGGGCTACAACTCCCAGTTAATCACACAGAAATGAAATGCTGGCAATATTAATTTTGTTAAATAATGAAATCCATTAAGAAGTCAAGGAGACTAATTTACTGTATCACTTTGCACAGAGTTTCTTTATTTTGGTATCAACTTTCACTTTAATTAATCACCTTTTAGGGTGTGAAGGTGAAGCATTACAGGGAAAGCAGGCAGGGCAACCTGTAAGACAGCATTACCCCATTTTCCTGCACAGCTTTGAACAGGAGAACCCGTACAGCAGCGACACCTTGGTCTCACTTCAGCTGACAGATACACGTTGATACAGAAAAGCCCAACTTCAGGTGAAGCAAGAGAACACACCATGCAATCAACCAAACACGAGAAAGCAGAAGTTGACACCTATTTTAAAGAAAAAAGGTAATCCAAAAAAGTAACATGTAACATGCCACAATTTCAACCATAACGTGAGGGACGGATAGTAGAATTTGGTGTTACATTTTAAAAAAGGAAGACAACAGCTTTGACAACGATCTCAGGCTTCCCTTTAATAGAGTAGTGCAGAATGCAAAGGAGGAAGGAAGAGTCTCCCTCTTCTCCACGCATTGCCATGACAACTAGTTGTGTCATGGTAATAACCCTCCCTAAGGCTGCGCCCAAGAACAATCACCTCGAAGTGTCTAATCCCATGTGATGTCAGTGATAAATGCCGATTACAATACTTATTCAGCAACTCTAAATTGTCACCCGCAGCTGTTGCCATGTCTTGAATTAATTTTTCATTGCAGCACGAAACAAAAGTCTTCCTCAGCTCCATCCCATCTATCTCTGAGGCTCTTTTCAAACAAGTCAGAGACCAGATACACGGCGACACGGTGAGATTACCAATCGGCAAAGAGAACAGCTAAAAAAGGGCTCACTGTAATTTCACTATGTAGACCAAAAGCCAGTCAAAAAGATGATTTTGTACACTTCTGCACGTCATATGGATGGGAATCTAGCCCATAAATTCACCAAGTGGAAAACAACAAAATTATATCTTCTCACCACAGTTAGATGTGAGCACTGCCTATGGAAAACCAGCCTACTGCAGGTCCTTCTGAGAAAAAAAAAATTACAGCCAGGGCATTTATAACCAATGACACCTTTGTAGATCACAAAGGCTGAAAGAACATAAGCTTCTTCAAATACTATTTAAAGTTAAGACAAATACAGAAACCCAGTTGCATCTTTTCTTCAGTCTCTACCAGCGAGGAAGGAGAGACAGGAGGTGTGCAGGCAGACTGAGCCAATTCAGCCCAGCCCAGCCGGGAATGAGCCCGACAGAATAAATCCACCCTGCACCTACCTCACGGTTAGCTAAAACCAGCACTGGAATTTTGCCTCTATTCTCAGAAACTTCAAGCATCCAAATTTCTGTAACAAAGTTACAGTAAGAAGGAAGCTGCAATTTAAACGGGTACAATATTCATCTTATTTTACTTGCAGGAGTATTTTATTCTTAGAAATCTTGCTGAACAAACCAGTCATAGTAGATGTAAGGGATTATGTATTTATTTATTCATTTAAAATAAACAAACATTTGAATAATGTTTATGATTAGAAGGCACCCATTTTAAAAAATGTGTCATATCTGCCAAGCAATTAGTCAGTTCTTATTAATTAATTAAGGTTGCAAAATTACTTGAGGTTCTGTAGAGCAGGAAAGTGGGTTATGGAAACAGTACAGCTTGCGAAGGACACAGAGGTGAAAAATGCCTGGAAATACTCAGCCAAAGGATTTTTTTATGTCAGGGTTTTTTTGTATGTCAGTTGAAATTACGTTCACTGCTTCAATGCTTCATGATTTGCATAGAAACAATGTGCATACAAATTTGAAAGCAGCAGAATAAAGGCACTAACAGTGCACCTTAGACAGAAGCAATCCATTTAACTAACAGAAGTTAGAATTAAAAGTGAACTGGGGGTTTGAACAGAAGTTTATTAAAAGGGGAACAGCCACCACATTATATGCATCCCCAATATGTGCGAGCTCAACTTCACCAGGTCTCAGGTCAACAGACAGGTTCCACAGCTCTTGTCAATTTTATGGTAAATTTACAATAAGAACCTGTGATTTTCAAAATCCACATTCCACTAAAGTAAGAGAAAATTAATTGCATGCTGTTGTACTCTGCAACCTTTAAAAAAATAGAGATTTCATTTTGCTTTAATGTGATAAAAGAAATATTAATTTTTAACACACTTAAATACTCTTAGGCATAGATGCCTGTAGTTTTTAGCCTAGTTTTCCATAATGAATGTAGCAGTCTGTTATGGAGCAAAGTGTCACCGAAAAGAATTTTCCACAAAATCTAACAATCTGTGCAAAATAAGCCCAACACTTCTGTAATTAATCAGAGTATCCCAGAACAGGAAACCAGTTAACAACCATTTCACTAGAACCTGTGTCACGTGCTGCATTACTGGGGGGTGCCTTCGTGGACATATTCAGCAAAACTCCTGGAGAACAAAAATTCTTTTAGACGCAAATTAAAACTCATTTCTATTCCAAGCTTCCCTTCTCACAGTAGTCAGTAAAGTCTTTCACAACTATAATTTGCGATCAGCGTAATGTGTGTGCTTATTTTACAGTAGTCTACCTTTAAATACTTTAGCTAAAATTAATAAAAGTACAAGCCACACTTGTGGCCAGTAATAATATCTGCATTCATGCATAATAAAATAGGGCTATTTGGAACACAAAATGGTTAGGTAATTTGGGAAACAGTTTTCCTTCTGCACCCTCATCACCGTTTAGCACTCTGTGTCTGGCCAAGCGTATCATGGATAAACCAAACCAACGGAAGCACCAGGAACCGGCTGCTACAGGAGGCAACGTGCCAGATAAAGCAGACTCTCCCAATTTCACCTTCTAGCTCGCTATCACGCTAACTGTGCAGGTACAGTGGCACCTCCCTTGTGCCGAGCACAACAGTACTTCCCTTCGCTGATCAGGTTTCCAATATGCCCTGAAGAGACCGGTGCTAAAAATAAAACTTTATTCCTATTTCAATCCTTGCACTGGGTTAATACCCTTGGCCCTTGCCAAGACTGTCAAAAGACCCACACAGTTGCTGTTCTTAGTAAACCTCATTAGGGACTGAACCGGCTCCGTCCCTTTACCTCGCGAGGTTTAGGGCTTCTACCCCATCGTCTCTCCCCGCTATCTTGGGCCCAGCTGGACACTACCCCCCTCGCTCTTCCCTTCCCTTGCAGAACCAGAAAAGAGAGCGGAAAGTGCTGACTTTTACAGCAATCCTTATGGTTCTTATGATTTCATGACGCATTATGCAAAGCAAACAAACAAAAAAATCCCAGACTAAGCCTTTGAAACGAACATTAGAAGGTCCCCTGAATGTTAAGCATTGTAATGAATCGAAGTATT